GAGGATTCAAGAACAGAGCTTCTGCTTGCCATTTCCTCTTTGCCTGAAAGAAAGACCTGAAAACGTTAAAATAATGGTGTGCCCTAATGAATTGTTTTGAAAGAAGATTGGCGGGTGCAGGAGGGGGTTATTAGCATGAAGTGACAGGCAGAAGATCTTAGGTTATCCCATAAGTTAGTGAAGGAAACAGATTCGATTGTAAAGCACATGTCTCTGTTGGCTCCAAATGAGGACCAAAGAGATCCCTCTGGAGGGATGGAGATTTGAGGTTGTAAGGATCAGGTAGAGGCTTTATATATTCTCAAGGCTTAAAGCTCCCACTTTTGCCCCTTAAAAACGTCTCTCCGAGCCCAGAGGAAGCCAAACAATCTTTAAACCCTTTTCCAACCACTCCGCTGATGCAATCGAAGTGTTGAAACTTTACCGCTCTTAAGTTACATCTTGTGGCATCCCTTTTGTTTTCAGAAAAAGGCTAAGCTGAGGGTGACAGCAGAGAACAACTTCAGCAGTTGTTCTTCTGCTAAGTGAGTGCCTTAAACTCCTTGATCACCTTTCATCCCAAAAATGAAGGGTTTAAAAAAAGGGGGAGGCAGCTAACATGTCAGGCTACCTCCACTCTGTAGGATGAGAGAAATGTTGCTATAAGAAACAGTCTGCTTTTTCCATGAGGTGAAAGCAGCCCCTGAATTTAGTTAGATCCGGGGATCTTGCACGGAGGACTTCAAGCTTGGAAGATGCCTGCAAAATTTCCCATCACAGCTACGTGATGAAATAGGTTCTCGGTTCTACAAGTCAAGCGACGGCATTGCTTCATTTCTGAGGCCTCTTTGGTGTTTTAGTGACCGGGGGAGGTTTTGATACAGGCACCATATGCATGCACCAGAAACCCCTTCTGACTGCTGAATGTTTCATGACTGGTCCACCGGGTGAGGTTTTGAAAGTTTCGATCTGCTTTTGCAACCAGTTTGTTGACTGGGATAGCCCATCAAAAACACCTTCTATCCCTATTGAGGTTTCTCAACCTCAATAAACTTCAAAAGTCTGGACTTCAACTCCCAGAAGTCCAAGACACACTGCCCTACTGTAATGATATGTGGGAAGAGCCTTGGGAGATGGATGAAGAACTTCAGATTAGAAAATGGTGGGACATATGCCAGCTGAACTTGCAGAAGAAAAAGGGACATAGCAAACATCACAAAAGGGATCTTCCCGAGTTTCTTGGCTGTAAAGTCAAGGGGGGAGAGATCTACTTTCAGACTTGCAAGATTCTGTTAATGTCATTTTACTATGAAGTTAGAACTAGGACCTCTGGACGTGCTTGTTGAACAGCCACATGTATCAGTAGATATTAGACCACTACAGTTCTCCTAGAACACTTGAATCAGAAAGGACTATTGGATACATCCTGATTTATTCCCTAGAGAAGAGATAAGCAAGAACTTAATCATATATTTGTCTCTTCCCAGCATGAAGATGGCACCCCAAGAATTTCAACTGGTTGGGTTTTTTTCAACTCTTACTGAGATTTCGTTTAAGATTAGATTGCTTCTTGCTCTTTTATACTCCTCTGTGAATGCATGTCTTATCCGCATGCTTGAAGAGCGGTTGCTAAACCATAATAGTTATGACACAGTAAAAAAAAAACCACAGCTTGCATCCTACGGGCAGTTTCTCTATTTTCTGCAAATACTGCGTATGATCTGATCTGATCTGAATTGAGTCTATGAAAAGTCTAGTTTATAGGCAATCCTCCACTTACCATCACAATTGGAACCAGAATTTTCATGATTAAGCAAGGCGGGCTGTTAAATGAATTGCAGATGATTTTGTGACTTTTTAAAATCACAGTTATTATGTGACTCATTGTAGCTCTTAAGTGAATCCCATGATGAAGTGAATCTAACTTTCCCCCATTGACTTTGCTTGCTGGAAACTGTCCGGGAATGTCACAGATGGCAAGGTCACAAATGGCAGTCACTTTAAGAAGAGACTGGACAGCCATTTGTCAGAAATGGTGTAGGGTTTCCTGCCTGAGCTGGACTAGAAGATCTCCAACGTCCCTGCCAACATTATTATGATTATGATTATGATTATGATTATGATTATGATTATGATTATGATTATGATTATGATTATGATTATGGATCATCGCACAGTTAGCCGGATGTTCAGACTGGATTTGGCATTTTGTCTACCTATTGAGTCCTTACCAAGGACCTGGGATAGGCAGATGTGGATGTTTGATGGTATTACAAATATCGTCGCAGGATGGAAGCAGTTCCTAGTAAGGCCGCCTTTTGCAATTGACTAATGGAGAATTTGTCAATGCCAATGGTGTTCAAGTGGCGCTCCAGTTGTTTTGGGATTGCACCCAAGGCGCCTATTACTATTGGTACTACCTTTGCTTGCTTTTGCCACAGTCTTTCTATTTCTATTTGTAGGTCTCTGTATTTTGTTATCTTCTCCAGTTCTTTCTCGTCTATTCTGCTGTCTCTATGCACTGCCACATCCACTATCCAGACTTTTTTGTCTTTCTTATCGACAATTGTTAAGTCCGGGGTGTTATGTTGCAGGTGCTTGTCTGTTTGAATTCTGAAGTGCCAGAGCAGTTTAATTTTATCATTTTCTATGACTTTCTCTATTTTATGATTCCACCAGTTTTTGCTTACAGGCAAATGATATTTCTTGCAGATCTTCCAATGCACCATTGTTGCTACTTTGTCATGCCGCTGCTTGTAGTCAGTCTGTGCAATCTTCTTGCAGCAGCTTACCAGGTGGTCCACTGTTTCTTCAGCTTCTTTGCATAGGCGGCACTTACTGTCTGTTGCTGTCTTCTCAATTTTGACTTTA